TTCATGCACAGAGCTAGATAAATGGTATTTCTGGCCTGGGCTGGAGGCAGATTTCTCTATAAATACAAAACCATTAAAGCCCATGCAGCAGGAACATGATCAGGGCCTCCTTTTAATTTCCTGACACGAGCTGGCCACTAACCCAATTATCCAGAATCCCCCGAGGAGCCCTCCACCTTCCCAACAAGCACAAAAAGAGAGAGGGGGAGAGCATGTTGTGTGGACAGAGGCCCAGCTCTCGCTGAAATCAAATATCTTTTAGAAAACACTTGGGGAGTGAGAGCAGTGGGCAGGGGCTGTGTGGGGAGGTTGATGGCTGGTAGGAGGGAGAAGAGAAGGAGGAGTGTACAGGGACAGACTGACTAAGGGACAGACTAAGAAGTTGCTGGGATCTCAGAGCTATCCTCAACACTCGGAGCGCCCCCTATGAAATGTAGCACAAGGACCCAGGTGCTGGCAGCTCACACCTGGCAGCTACTTAGAGACTGAGATCTGAAGATCACAGTTCAAAGCCAGCCTGGGCAAAAAAGTGGGTGACACTCATATCTCTAATTAACTAACAAAAAAGCCGTAAGTAAAGATGAAGACTCCAAGGCTAAGGGAGACCAGAAGGCACTGAGTTCAAGCTTCAGTGCCAGTACAAAACAAAAACGGAAAAAGAAAAGCAGACCATGGACATCAACTCCATTGCACAAGCTGCCCTGAAGCTCCAGGCAGTGCAGGGGAGAGCCACGAAGGACATACACTTAGTCCCAAATTGAGATATCTGATGCCCTGAGAGGAAGGAAGCCATTCTTATGTCCAACTTCTTTCCCAGTCATTGTTGGGGCCTCTAAACCACTGAGCAGTCAGAAAGGAAAAGTCATCAAAGATCTCGAGCTGCTGGGTTTTGGAGGTTTAGACTCACAGGTGATGGGCGAAGAAGAGAGCAAACAGCATCATACTCTGAAACTCAGGCCCCCAGCCCAGGGCCCAATGTAGAACCCTAACTCATAACACAGCTGCAGAAAGGGTGAGGTTCATGTCTTAAGAGTAACTTAGGAAAGAAACCGGGCACCAGTGGCTCACACCTGTAATCCTAGTTACTCGGAAGCTGAGATCTGAGGATTTCAGTTCAAAGCCAGCCTAGGCAGAAAAGTCTCTGAGATTCTTAACTCTAATCACACACACACCCCACACACACACACACACACAAAACTTTGGGCAGAAAAGTCTCTGAGATTTTTAACTCTAATCACACACACACACACACACACACAACTTTGGGAAGGCAGAGGGAGGAGCCCAGGTTGGTATGGGGAGCTAGGCCAGTAGGGACACCCAAACAAAAGCTAGAGCTAGAGTAGTTGCCAAGAGCCTCTGCCTGGCAAGAACCCAGGCTACTGAGTGAAGTCTGCTTCTCTTGCTTCTCCTGAGGGGGCTGGTCCCTGCAGAGCCCCAGATTCCAGGACCTCACCAAGGCTCCGTGGGGACACACGTGGAGCCAGGCACTCGCCCCCCCATCCTCAGGAAGCCATGTGTCATCTTTCCCATTTTGGAGTTAGCGTTGGAGGGGAGGGAGAGAGATTGTTCTGTGACTTCCCAGGCAGCATTTCCTGGCAGGACTCAAGCATAGCACATCTGCCCAGGACGCTGATTTCAACCCTGTGTGTCCATCAACCTCGGGGGTATTGATGATGTGATAGGGCCGCTGTGGGCTCCCTTGCAGGTCCTCCCCACCCTGTCAGCTCATCATCCCACCATGGTGAGCATGCACAGCACCGACCCCGGTATCACCACTGCCCGTGCCTTCCAGCCAGCAGCAGATCACCTTTTCGGGGAGGAGCGGGGAGGAGCCACTAGAAAGTACCTCCTACTTTCCAACACTGGGGAAACCCCAAAGAAACCTCTGTGCACTGCAATGACACTCCAAGGGTTTTCAGTAGTCGTCCGCTCTACCCACCTCTATCCCTGACCTTTGTCTGGATACACAGCACAGAGCAGAAGCTCTGAGTGCAGCTCCCCTCAACCTAGCAGGTGACTAAGGCTGGGAGAGTCATCTCACTTCAACTTTCCCCAGTCCTCATGGAGGCCTCCTTCTCTGAGCCCCTCAGACGCCCAAGCAGAGAAGCTGCACATGTAGCAAGGAAAGGCACTGGGCAGCTGGCCACAGCCTGTCCTTAGCCCCTGCTTATAGCACAGGGGTTGCTCCACCTCTCCAAGTGAAGACTCCCAAACCTGGAAGCCCTCAAGCCTCCAGCTCTCCATAGGAGACCAGAGCTGAGGCCCTTCCACACCTGCTTCCTCACCCAGGAACACCAGAAGATGCCGAAGGAGCAGGCAGCCTAGTGAAGAAGCTGGGGACAAAAGGCTCAGCCACTAGTTTGGTCACATTCTACATGCAGCAAGAACAAAACTGTGCGGTCCAAATGAACCCGCAAGGGGGCTGGGAAGGTGGCTCAGTGGTAGAGTGCTTGCCTTGCATGCATGAGGCCCTGGGTTCGATTCCTCAGCACACATATGCAGAAAAA